GGTCTTCCCATCCCTCTCTCTTCCCCATTCACAGGTCTCCGGATTCCGACGCACGCTTCCCCATTCCCTCAAGTCCGAGGAGGTGGAACTCGGCGCGGGCGGCATGGGCGGCGTTAACATTGGTGGCGTGAGTGTGGGCGGTAGTTCGACGGCCCTCTACCCCCACGAGACGACGATCAGGAATGAGTGGGTGTTCCTCGCAGCTGTGCTAGATCGCCTCTGTTTTATTCTCTTTGCCTTCATCTGTCTTGTCAATTTCATAAGGTTCCATGCCGTGTTGTGAGGTCTCTGTGCTTGTGAGGCTTAAAGCTCTTAAAAGGTCCCTCTCTCTCTCTCTCTCTCTCTCTCTCTCTCTCTCTCTCTCTCTCTCTCTCTCTCTCTCTCTCTCTCTCTCTCTCTCTCTCTCTCTCTCTCTCTCTCTTATGTATGTGTGGCGTTTTGTTCCAATTTAATGTGGTGTTATATGGGGTTAAAATGCGTGCGGCCTGGTATGCGATGGAAGCCTCAGTTGTGCAGGGAGGAATCTCTGCATCGGGAGGTATGTGGATAGAATCTGCGTTGTGGACTAGGAAATGGATTTTTATTTGACGTGGTTTAAGATGTCGATGATTGCCATGTTAGTGACAGAAACAATATATATATATATATATATATATATATATATATATATATATATATATATATATATATATATTATCATTATTGTTGTTATTATTATTATTATTATTATTATTTTTATTTTTTTATTATTATTATTATTATTTTTATTTATTTTTATTATTATTATTGTTATTATTATTATTATTATTATTTTGCGTTGGGTTAAAAGACTGTACTTCATACTGTGTAAAGTGCTTCAATGCGTATGTTACATTTTAAATACAGAATTTTGCAATGTGCTTTAATATGCTTTGTGGTTTAGGTGTCGTAGGTTGTAGCATGGCAGTGGAATCTTATGTACCAAGCCTCCGTTTCGGTAATATAATAGTATTTCATATTTTACGTAAACATAAGCTTTCTGCAATACGTAACGGGGTATTTATCTTTTATTCTGAATTTTTAGATTTTCTATGTGTACTATTTGTTGTGCTTTAATGTGATGCATTGTATTTTACCATTATTATTATTATTATAATCATTATGTCCCTTTATGCAGTGCTATGGATGCTTGTTGACATGTGTCTTTATTCATATGTATGTGCAGATGTGTACGTGTGCATATATGATATGTACATCGTGCTGTAGTATGTTGGAGAGTTATATGCTTTGTTGTTAAAACATTTGGTAATGTGCTGCATTGTGTGATTTTAACACACACACACACACACACACACACACACACACACACACACACACACACACACACACACACACACACACACACACACACACACACACACACACACATGAACATACTATATATATATCATTATATGGTGCTTCGGAATTGCCTATATCCATTATAGCTTAATGGCAAAGTACAAGCAGCTGCTTATAATATATGGCACCGAATAACAAACTGCTTATGACTTTAAACATGTAAACCACTTACGGAACTCACTACATCTGGTAACACTGGCATCCATAACGTACCACTCTTTTATCATTAAAATAAGTCCCACAATAAAAAGGTTTTAATTTTGGGTTTTGTGGCACCTATGGGTTTAGAAGAAATCTTTCTTGTCCCCTGGGTCATGGAATATGTAGGAGCGCCTTTGAACAGAATCTTTGTAAGGAATAATGTTTTAGCGTAAACTTCAGGTTTCTTCTTATTGTTGTTGTTATTGTTATTTTGATCATCATCATCATCATCATCATCGTATTTGTCATTAGCATGAACATTATTATGATTATTATAATGATTACTTTATTAGTCATATTGTTTTTTATTGTTTTAATTATTGTCAAAATAGGCTTCATAAGTTAGATTACTTTGCTACTTATAAACAGCTCTATTTCAGATACGAAAACAGACTTAGTCTTTATGTCATGTTCCTCTTAAAAGTGTATATCGTTTCTTTTGAGAGAAAATCTACCGAGAGAGTTTAAAACGAAAACTAAATTAAAAGAAAGGCAAATAGTATTGTAGCTTCTATAATACCCGGCTAGCGAAGCGCCCTTTCGTATTAAATAAACGTATGTAAAGAAGCATTATGGAAATGGAACACAACAAAAAACCGAATTGGAGCCTTAAAAGAAGCGATCAAATTTAAAACAACGTCTATCAATATGACAAACATCACAAAGTATTAGTGGGAATAGAAGTTTGAAAGGGACAGGAAGATTACGAAAATGGAGGATAGACATAAGCAGATATAAGAACAGGATTCAGAATCTATTATTTAGGCACTAGTTTTAGAGGGTATGAAATAGAAAGGAGGAATAGAGTAAAAGTTTCGACGTAAATACTGCACACTCTCTAAATACGTGTAAAATACAAAGGCAAGAAGGATAAGGAAAAAGGATTTTTTTTTTTCTATAACAAAGAACACAGAGATCA